CAGTAGGTGTATCGAATATATCAAAGAGTATTGGTGAGTCAGTTATGGGGGAAAATGCTGCTGGTGTCGGTGATGGTATTGGTGTGGTGTCTATTTTGTCCTCTGGGTGGGCTGTGACGGTTACATTTATTCCTATCCCAAGTTCTTCCATCATTACATTGTGGAATGTATCGTATAGTGTAGTTGGGTTTGCTTGTAAGTTTGCCAGGGAGATAAAAAAAGCACACATTGTGTTTGCAAATTGTTGTTTGGTGACAATTTGATTTCCTAATTCCTTATCAGCTTGTTTTATGTTCATTCTCATAGGGGTTCCTGTTTTAGTTTTGAATTCTGTGAGGTATGTTTTTACATTTATGACGGCTTCTGCGTAGGTCTTAGTTTGTGTGGTAACATTTACTTTTTGGGTGGGTTTAATTTGTTTCTTAACTTCTTGTGGTTTGTTTGTCCTATTTACGAATGGGGTGACCTTAAAAATTCTTTCGCCATACCTGATGTTACGTGGAATAAAAAGAAGACCTACTAATACACAGTCCCAATCAGGGCTAACCGTAATCAAAACACTCCCATCTCGACGAGATTGGTGACATGATTTTAACGCTAGTGCGCAAGCGCGGGCTAATCGAGAGGGGCTCTCGATGACTTCGTGGTTCGGTGAACAAACACAAAAGCGACGTGCAATAGAATCTTGACTGGGGCAGAGTTGCCAATCCCCTCTATATACTGTCCCTGGGTATACTAATGAATTGGGGTTGTGGGAAGTATAATATTGGGTAATTATTTGGAACAATTTAGTGGGTACCGGCAGAGACGTATATACGTCTCTGGTACCGGTTAGTGTCACAATTAAGTTGGGTAAATCAGAGTCGTATATTATAATATACGTCTCTGGGCCGGTAAATCGATGTGCCGGGCCTACATTATGACATCTGGGCCTTATTCGTTTAAACGGTCAAACCGGTCGGACCACAGTTGTTCGTTTTAGCCTTGCAAGGCCTGCATAAACATGTGCAGGTCCGCCAGGATTTATACCCGAAATTGTTACATTTATAAACGGTCAAACCGGTTGTTCCGCATTTACGAACAGGCCATTGGGACCGTCGGCACTTTCCGTAAACGAGAAGGTATTTTCTCTTTTACGGAAAGTGGCGACGGTTCCCGATTGCATTATTAAATGCAGAAGTTTCCAAAAAATATTTTAATGAATAAAATTGCACTCTTTATATTGATGATTTATCAGAAAAAAATGGAAATGCCCTGTTCCAACCAAATTGTTTAAATTACGGATGGTCCATTTTCCGTTTTTTTTATTATGCACTCGTATTCGGGACGATTATAGCCCGAAGCATTCCGATATCAATTCGTCACATGATAACGTGCCATCGATTCCAAGGAAGTGAAGACTCAAGATGTTGGCAGTGTCCGTTATAATTCTCCTCGTTGGAACTTGTACTTGTACGTTTGATGTACCTGTACTTATATGGTCAAAAAGCAGGTAAACTAAATACGTGTGCTGTAGATTTATACATATGTACCGGTGTTGTCGATTTTCGACGGTGCAAGAGCAAAATCGCTTTTTGCGGTGAAATATTTTTTATTCCAAACCTTACCAGTTAAGTCAAATACTATTATTGCCATAATTCTGTAAAAGATCGAATATCCCGAATATCTTTGATGATAAACCACTAGAAAATGTCAAAAAACATGGTGACTGCCTAACTTGTGTGCGTGCGTACTACGCCATTAGCAGGTCGGGAAAAACCACTAACTTGCGTATAATAGATTAAGGTTCAACAAGCCCCCTAAAAGATGACGTAGTCAACTAAAATTCCAACCCCCTGGTAAGTAAGGGTAGGGGTAAACCACGAAAAGGAGTTGTAATGACGAAAAGGACAAAAATCATAGGTTTTTGGGAGGTATGAAGCGAAAAGGACCTTGATATGATTGGTTAACTATTTTTTTTGTTATGTTCATGAAATATGAAGGCAATCTGTTGATTATTTTTAAAAGGAGCAGATATTAGTGTTTTTTCACCAAGAAACATTATTAAGTACATAATGTATTCATTCTCACAATACCTAACGATCTTTTTATCTTGTATGCACATAAATCGACTTTTAATAACACTACCGTACTGTTAATCATAAAATCAGAAAATACACCCCCAAAAAGGACTGTTTACTGGCGAATGAAAATGTGATATGATAACTTACAGCACGAATGACTTACCCATAAAGCTGCTGAGTATTCCAATGTCATTTATTTATTAAAAAAAATCATTAAATAACACGATAATGATATAAATCGTGCATCAATCCAATACTACACAACCCATCGTTACCGAGGCGGTTCATAACAAGATATATTTTTCTTAAACATCCATTAAGTTTAAAGAAAGGCTTTGCTTTTAAATCAAGAGAACATATTAACATACATATCCCTAAACGTAAAGGGTTCATGAAAGAAATGTGAATTAGCCATTATAATTAAATCTGATTAAAAATGTAAGTAATTTTTATCATAGGAACATGGCCTTGCACTTGTAGTGACTGTAATAGTTTTATGCATCTGTGTTACAAGATTTTTATTTAAGAACTTGTACTAATAATTAACTTTTGAAATTTATCAGTATATTTTAGGACTGTTTAAAGGGACATCACATGAAGAGCCATATTTTTTTTAATGAATGTATATATATTGTATGCACTTCCACTTATGTTACCTCGCTATCCCCATATTCATAGTCCGTTCCAAATGTCTAGTTTGACCACTTGAACTATTCGGGAAAGCCCTGCTAAAAATAGCACCAATAACGTCACCTAACTAGGCAGTAAACACGAGCGGTCTGGGCGAGATGAAACGATTTCCAACGACTTCCTTTCGCACAAACCATTGTGTAATTATAGAAACACAAAGTAAACTCTCTCCGATACATGCCCATTGACATATTAAACTAAGTTCATCTGTGTTCAAACGCAGACAAAGATACTAGCCAGGTTAATAGGTTTAGATATTTATTCATAACATAAACAGCGCTACCATTTCTGTCGATTCCATTTCAGCTTAACCGGCTATCTGGAAGAATACATGCACCGTACTAACTGCTAGGGCAGTTATTTTCTCCTTTGAATACTTCCCACCTGTAATAATGATTCCTTAACGTACTCCTTGTGCTATCTTTTGACCATTTGGCAACTTTTCACTTCGTAGCTGACACGGTACAACACTTTTCTTTGGCTTACTTCACACGGCCAGTCATTTTGTTTACAAAGAAATGGTGTGCAATGCGCATGCGCTAGTAGAAAGAAATCCCTGAACAAAACGTTCGTCAGACAGGTAGAAATACCGATGATTATCTTAGATTTAATCATTTTTAGCTCACCTGCCCGAAGGGCCAGTGAGCTAATGGCAGCCTACCGCATTACGTCCCTTTATAGTTGGCCGCTAATAAACATTGGCGCTGTCTGTCAACGGTAGTTCCGGTTTGAGCTCGTACGCACCGTTCCAATGTAAACAATCCGAATATTGCGTGACTATTAACGTCTATGTTTAATCATCATGTAGGAGTTTGTGTGTAAATGGTTAAATGTGTTGTGTTGCATATATTCGCTTTGTATTAGCAGACATGTAATCGTTTTGATACATTTGTCAACATTTTTCTCGAGGGAATCCCTGCTGTACTGTACAGTAACCACACCACAGGGGTTCGTTATAAATGTCTGAAATACACATGTACATATTTTATGCTGTACTGATATGGGTCATAGCATACATAAACTTTGTGTTGTTATCCATATCAGTAGCATATGTGTATTTCAGACATTTGTAACGAACCCCTTTGCAATAAGTTAACTTCTAAACACCGACTTAGGAAATGGATCCCTCTACTCCAGGGCCTAGAAATATGTTATGTGTCCGAGTGATCAGCCTATTACGTAATCATAAGTGACACACCTGTACTATAGTGTTTGCCGGCGACGCACATAACCGTGGATAATGAAGTCAAATTAAAGGTCTTCATGCACTTTTACTTGTGAGAGAGAGAGAGAGAGAGAGGGGGGGAGGGTAACAAAGCACATGGGTTAGTTTTATGCTTAACTGATATGGGTCACACAGCATAAAGCTATCATAATCAGTGACTTTAAATGTGAATTTTGGGTCTTTTTATTTTTAAACATGCATATTTGTTTATATGTACTGTGACAGTAAAGTGTGTATTTTAGTCATTTGTAAAAGAATAAACTGTGATCTGAGCAAGAAAATATTTTGATATCCAAGTTAATAGATATTTATTGAATCATTACTAACTGTTGAACAGAAAATTATATGTACATGTCAAGATGTATTTAACTGTGTGATTCACAGTTGCTTCTGTAATTATCCATAGACAAATGTAATATCTAACATCTGTGGAGAGGTCACATTTGATTGAAAGTCAACTTTATTTACATCCCAATTGTTGCTCAGAATAATTTTGAGAAGATGATGCACTTTTAACAACTGGCAACTGTGATTTACCTGTACAGTACAGTTCAACCATACAAGTTCCAGAGGAGTCATCCACTTTTCTTTCCACTCAAACATCTGAACTTAGTTACTTACTAAGTACAACTTGTCAAGTGTATACATGTATTTATTGATGTCTAAACTCAGTTCACAACATGTAGTGACGTACAAGAAAATACACATATCAACTTTGAAATATGCACACATTTAACATATTTGTCATCAATATAAAATTATCTATTTTGATGAGCTCACTAACAAAGTAACTTCTCTAAGAGATATAATGGGTTCTCAAAAAGTAAGCCAGGTCACACAAAAGAAAGAGTCCAGGAATCAAATATCCAATAAAAAAACATCAATATGACAAATCAAATCAAATAAAAACACAATTAAGTTTGATTATAGATATCTTGACTCATATCCTAAAGTTTATTTCCTGAAATGAAAAAAAATATCATGGATGTTATAAATACACTTTTTACACATGTCATAACACACAATATCAATATACATGTACATTATAATAACTAAGATGAAATGAGTATCTCATATGATAAGATTTTTTTTTTTACAAGTTATTACATACAAAGTTCTGTGTCCCTCTAATAACATTAAACAAGGGTTTGTCAATATCTGAAACTACCTGAGTTACACATACATTTAAGTCATTTAGGTTTTCTTGTTTTCAAATAAACATTTGACAAAAATTCTTTTTAAAATGTGTCCAGTTCTTCAATATTGATGCTTAACTATTTTCAATTTTGACTTCTAAAAGGTATTAAATCAATATTGTGATATTATCATTCTCTTATATGGCCTGCTTCTCAATATATATATATAACAAAGTATGAAAATACTTGATCAGTGATACCTAGTAACTTTAACTCTATAAAAAAAACCATACATATTAGTTTTACCAATAGTTGTTGAAACAGACAATACACCCATCAAGTGTTTTGAAATTTTAACATCCCAAAACCTATTACAAAAATCACACATAAGTCAACATTGTTATAGTTAATTTGCACGGTCTAATGGAATGCAAATGTACATACATGTACTGATACACAATTAATTTAACATTATATACCTGAGCCATCTTGGACATCAGTAGACCCAACAATGAGCTTTGACTCGAGTTTGCAAAGATATGTCTATTTAGAATGTGTTTGACTCCTCAGATTTAGGGAAAAGATTATTTGAAATGACTTAATGTCAAGGGTCAACTGAAAATCTGTTCATCTTAAATATTCAAGGGATTTTTGTTGAACAAAATCATTACAGTAGTGATTCTGTAATATGAAGTAATCTAGAAATTTTAAGTACAGGACATTGCAGACAGTATAATTCACTTCAGTAAGAGCTCGTACAAATTTGTCATGGCACAACATATCATAATTATTTGTTCAGCTAAATGAACTTCAGTAAGTGGTAGCACAGATTGTAATATCTTGAAGTTCTTGATTTGCTCCATTTTCATTTCAACAACAATCCTCGGAGCAGCAATTTGTTGAGTTTTAAAGAACTCCTGTACACTCATCTGACAATTAGATCATACAAATGGTGGCGTATTTAGTCCTATATGTGCAGGAAGTAAATCTCCAACAGTAAAGCCTTTGTATGCAAGAATAACATCTCGAGGTTCTGACGTTGGTAAGAAGAGGTCACCATCTTTTTGCACAATATGTCTGCTATCTGATACATGCCCACCCCAAATCCTTTACACAAATGTTACTAGACCATTGGGTGCAACTCCAATTAAACCTTTATAAGTGTTCTGGTGTTTGTATTCACTCCATGTAAGAAATTAAGCCTCTATGTTTCCGTGTTTCTTGCAGAAGAATTATGTTGCATCTATAACTATACGAAACTGAGCCATTTCTGTAAAATGTTTAGGCAAATTGCTTAAAATTTGTTCTCTTGATGGCCATGGGATAAGTGACTTGCATGTAATCAAACATAAAATTAATCCATATATTAATGATTCGA